TTGTACATTATATGTATGATTGTTTCTTGCGTTTGTTTTGCTTTTCTTTTCTGACTTGCGGGTCCTTTTTAAGAACGGGGCGGTATGTTACATGCAAAATATTAATACAGAGAAATTTGACATTAAAAACAATTCTATTGCTGTGTGTATGGGAAATATTTTTTCAGTACAGATCTTCATATCTGCTGCTCTCCATTTATACCGAAAGGAAGTAGAAGTGTTCAGAGAATGAGCAGTGCACTGTTCTACCTCTGGTGCCCTAGAAATAATCGGGGCATTGTGGCGTCTGCAGGGTGACGGATAATAATTACCAGGAAGCATAATTAACAGTGAATCGCAAAGATGAAAAAAGGACAGCAAGGACAAGATAACGTGCAGTCAGTGACCTTGGTAATGCCGAGAGAGAAATGTAGACCTGTGAAAGAATACAGAACACAATGAGACAGAAGAGGATTTAATATGAAGACATTCTCCTCTGTACTGTACAAAACGCAGAAACATGGTCTAAAACCGTTGAGCATGGTGTCCATCTATTGCAGCTTTCCTGATATTGTTTAAAGGGACCCTGTCACCAACTTAAACCATTAAGGTAAAGGCACAGAAAAATCAAGTATTCTATATGCTTATTTGCTATGTTTTTCCTTTCCATACACTTTTTTCCCCACTTGCCTTTGAACTTGCTAGAAAAATTGACTTATCCATTCCATAGCTTAGCCCCTCCCTCCTTGCACGTCATATGCCCCTCCTCTTTGGAAGTGTCTAATTACTCTCTGTGCTGGCCCAGCTCCTCTGCCTTTCCCTTTTACCTCCCTACATAATCATTTATATATCTGCCAAGGAAAGGGGAATAGTATAGAGCAGGGGTAGGCAAACACCAGCCCTCCAGCTGTAGTGCAACTACAAATCCTATTAGGCTTTGCAAGACACAGAGCCATAAGCATGACTCTGAGACAGATGCATGATGGGATTTGAAGTTTCAGCTCTGAGTCTGCTTTGGCTGCTGACCTCACATTCAAGATAGTGACACCCAGCAGCAGTCTCAGGGGCTTTTGCTGTCTACATAAGGGAGGCTGTTACAGGTAAATGACATGCACACAATATGTTTACTGCACATACAGGAAGATTCTTGTTGAAATGAATGCTCTGGTGATAGGGTCACTTTAACTTGTACTTTTCAAATAGCTGTGTGCGGCTAAAGATCCATAGTGGTTAGTGTGGTTGGGGGAATTGAGCGTTTCTCTCATTCAGCCTGTGGACTAAATGAGAAAACATATTAAGGTGTAGGGCCAGCTTATCTCTATTTTCCTGAAATCATCTCTGCTGCTGTATGACTCGGCTCCTTCCTATCAAAATGGCCATACACTGTTCAAATTTAGTCCAAGTCATGCTGACCATTCACAAATATTCTTGTCTGAGGGGGTTGCATGGGGGAATCGAGAGCTAAACGAAAACAATCTGCAGTATGGCCAGCTTCAATCTCCTGTCCTGAAATACTCTGCTCTGCTTAAGGTCTCCGCTTCCTCCACTATTTCAATAGGAAACAAAGCAATGTGGAGTTGTTTAGTAACTGGGCTGAAGCGTGTAAAGTAGGGATGCGCCGATATATATCGGCCGCAGAAACATATCGGCCGAAAATGGCACTTTTGGCAAATTGCCAAAAGTGCAATTTTCTGGCCGACACAGCGGTGCATCCTGCTCTCTCCTCCCTGCTGGGCACTGCTCTGTGTCCCAGCAGGGAGGAGAGAAACTGTCACAGACGGCCGAGCGCTGCTGAGGAGAGAGCTGTGAGTGGCCGACCTCTCTCCTCCCCGCACCGTTCAGCCTCCTGTCACAAATTGGCATAGTGGTGTGGGCGGAGACAGCCTGTGCTGTCACAGGAGGCTGAGCTCTCCTCCCGCACCGCCCAGCCTCCTGCGACAGCTGTCAGGATGGAGGGCTAGTACAGGGACTCTGTGATCGCTGAGTGTTTATAAATAATTGAGGACATAGTATTGTTGCTGTATCCTGAATTATGAATGAATGGGAAATAATCTACATCACTTCCTGTACATTCATGATTGTGGTTATAGTAAACCTACTCTGTCCTCAATATATGAATGAACAGGAGCACTCAAGTATAGAGGATTCCTGTTCATTTATAACAGGAGCTGCAGAAAAAAAGATTGAGGACACAGAGTCCTCAATCTCTTTTTCTATTTTAAAAGCGAAATATCGGGGTCTGTTTAGACCTCTAATATTTTCCTGAAGCCCCTAAAAGTAAAGTAAAAAATAAAAATGAGTAAATAAAAATTAAATATAAAAAATTAAAAAGTTTCTAAAAAATAAAATGTAAAAAAAAATTGAAAAATAATAAAAACACATTTTTAGTTTCGGCCTGATATTTGTTTTTTTCATTTCGGTTTTGAAATTTTCATTTTGGTGCACCCCTAGTGTAAAGTGCATTTTACTTCTAATGCAAGGCTAGAGTCGCCAAACGCTGATTGCATTGCCACTCATAAATTATTTACAACAATCCACAGATGATAGCTGTTTATCTCTGACTTTCCACAGGATATCTTTGAACATCAATAACGTTTATTGGAATGGACGTAATTATGACAGATGACCACTATTAACCTATGAGGTCAACCCTGTGACAGAGGCATGGACTCATCACAAGTTATTGCTTATCAAAGCCTAATACTCTGCTACTGCCCGAAGAATGTGGCCACTAGGGGCACTATTTCTCCTATTTTCATGTGGCGCTGGCTGATCAAACTGCTTGGGCACACGCACACACACACACACACACACACTAATGGTTTTTTATGAGTATCGTTTATTAGCTAATAGAAAAGAAGTCCTAAGAGGACTTGCCACCTCTAAAAGTAGCTATCACAATTATGTAAAGATGATCAGTTTTTCTGAAAAATTCCTTAGTTGTATGAAAGATCATTTAACATACAGTGATTACTTTCTCGCGTGAAAATTGTACATCTTACCCACTAAATGTATGGTGACGTGCCTACATATTGTATAGGATCATTTGGTTATCTAAAGGTTATTACAAAAGAGATGTGTCATACAACCAAGTCTGAGTCCACTGCCCAAGAAGGCGTTATAAAATCCTGGTGTGCTCTATGTAGATGTGGCCTGTCCCAGTACAGCAAGAGCCCCGTGCTGGTTGCACATTGAGATTTTATACCTCTTTCGCTAGTAGACAGTGTTTGCCACAACACTTATCAGAGTACATGACTCACTAGACTCTGTTTAGTAATGCCATCAAGTACAAAGTGGCAAGTCTTCTATAACCCCTAACTCTGCTGGGCAGGTCAGCAAAATAATGAACTGCGTAAGCATGGCCGTATTTACACATCTCACCTGATGTCGCCTTTTTATAGAAGCTACTTTTCAACTAGAGAGCTCTCCAAAGAGAAAAGAGAGATGGCCCCATAATTCCTGAACTATAACAAGCAGGCGCATCACAAGCTCCCTGTACTAATCTTTTGTTGAATTGAGAAAAAACATCTAGAGGTATTCAGAAGAAGAAAACAAGTAAAAGGTCACAACTCTGTTTGATGCTGCCCCGGACACTGGCCATTATAATAAATAGCTCAGTGTTCAAGCTGCACTTATCTGCCATCTTATTTTACCAGCTAGGAAATGCTAACATTGTGTAATGTTCTGCCCCATACAAGCAGAGTCTGTGGCTGCCCTGTGGCAAGACTTGAAAGTTTTCAACCAGGGACAATAGATAGCATATACCTATTAACATTACTGCTTGGTGAGGGTTTGGGTGGTAATTAGCATAAAGAAAGCTGAAGACTGAACTGTATAAGATTGTTTTTCCTCCTTTGTTGTCATACACTCTCAGAACCTGGCTTTCGCTGTGGGCTGGGCCTTGGCAGCGTTTACATAACCTGTAGTTGATTATATTAAATTTGCTGAATTTGGTTCCCCAACTAAACCTGTCGATTTTCTGCATCTAAGCTGCTATCAGAAGACTCTGTGACCTGCACCTGCTGCCATCACAGAATCAATGGGACACAAACGAAGCAACATTACCACTGCCCAATACCTGAACACAGGCCAGGACAGATGCAGCTGGTATATTTAGCAGCAAAAGAAGAAAAAAGGACATTTGTTTAACTTGCAATTAATACCGCCGTTACACTTTTAATACATTTTTTTTTTTTTTGTGGTACTAAAATCTAAAATCCTGAATTATCCTTAAACAGTTGCATCAGTCATAAAAGCAAAACCACTGCCCCCTGGCAGTTGATTGCGGCTTGCAGTGTGGTTCTCTGTGCAGGCAGTTTTTGCTTCCACCAGCCCCCTTTATGTTGTATTGTTGCTTGTACCCGAACCCTTTCTGTGAAAACACAATATCTAGTGTCCCAATGCTTCAAGTGCTCCATTTGCAGATGTGGAGGAATTTAACAAAACAGGACATATGTGGCCATTCCTCCTCCACCTCAGCACATCACAGATAAGCAGTTCTGAAATGCTCCTGTTTATTTCTTTCTTAACTTTCTGACTGTATTAGTCATGGAATGTCCTAATTGGAGTGGGGCACACACAGCATGTCTCCAACTAACTCTGTGATTTCGTTTGGGAGATTGCCTCATTTGCAGACTGACTGACCCGAGCAGCTTTCACTGAAGACAGAAGAAGTGGTTCTGCCATTAGAAGCGGGGGAAATTTATCAAAACTGGAGAGACGGGATGTGGAGCAGTTGCCCATGGCAACCAATCAGCATCTCTCTAGTTTGCTCAGGTAAGATTTGAAAATGAGACAGAGAAGCTGATGGATTGCAGTGCAAATCTGCTCCAGATTTGGTCTGCTCCAGTTTTAATAAATTCCCCCCTTTATGTTTAGAATGAAGTTCCTCTATAAAGCAGCTGCTCCCTTCTACATGATATGTGTTCCTGAAGAAGAATTCTAGGGCCTAAAGGGCAAGTCCACCCTCAACTGATATCTCAGTGTTTGGTAGATGCTACAGAATGAAACCACCTGAGATCTCTGTGCAAGGGGTTCCCACCATCCTTGCTGGAATTGTTTTTAACCACTTGCCGTCCACCCATTTTGAAAAAACGGACGGACGGCAGACTCACATGGGCAGGTTGCCGTAACTAGATGGCTTTTTAATTTTTCTGTCACCTTCAATCCCGGGATCCGCTAGCCCATCTGCGGCTCGGGAGGGCATCAGGAGGTAAGATGGGAGGGAGCTCAGCATCTTCCTCCTTGCTGATCTCCCTCCATACTGTGAATGCGGAAGTAATGTGTATATTATATCACTGCTGCATTCACCTGTCAGTCCTCTGGCTGCTATAGCCAGAGAGAAGAAGCTGATGAAGCCGATCTCGGCTTCAGCTTCTTTTGGGGTCCCCAGGTGACATTAGGGGTCTCAGAGACCCCTAATGTCTCCATAAAGAGGACCTGTCAGTGTGCCTTTGCTATTATATAGGGGGATTGTTATTGTGATTGCAATAACAAGTCCCCCACCCCCACGTTTACGCAAATATAAACATAAAAACGTGTTTGATGCACCAGCGCACGAAAACGACGATTGTGCTACACATGTTACATATCGCCGCAAACGTCGGAGTGAGAGCAATCATTTTAGGGACATCAATCACTGATAACACTAAACTGATGAGCGGTAAAAGCTTTTAAAGCGTCGCCTATAACCAATTTTGGGTATTGTACTTTTTTTTGAGGTTTTGCACGCAATTTTAAGGCTTGACATGTTTGGTGTCTTTTTACCCGACGTGACCCCGTCTTTTATACTTTACGCAAAAATTGGGTAATAATAAATGTTCTATAATTTAATATAGGGGAAACTGTTTTGTTTTTTTAATTTTCTGTAATTTTTCCTTAATATAGTAAAACAAAAAAAACCCAGTGGCGATTAAATACCACCAAAAGAAAGCTCTATCTGTCCCCAAAAAAATGGTATAAAATTCATTTCAGTACAGCGTTGATGACGGAATAAATGTCAGTTAAAGTCAGCGCTAAATACTGAAAAATGGCCTGGACAGGAAGGGGGTTTAACACCGCGGACTTCAAGTGGTTAATAATATGTAGAATGTAACACGAGTTGGAACACCCTAGGTGGACATAAACATAGTTTGGAATTATGGTAGGGATGACTCCGCCCACCAGGCGCCATGTATAACAAACATTTAGTAATTTTTTGTAGACCGGCCCTTTAATAAATGAGACAAGGAAAACCTCCTGTACATTCATTCCACGGCTTCCAAGTTTAAAGCAGGTTAGAATACTGAGTTCTGAATGTTACCCTGTCCATGTGTCAGGATAACGGACATCAGCTCAGTAAAGCACAGCAGAGAATGGGGAAAATTTGGCACCCGCACCATGCCTGTGGCATAGGCCAGATCTGCTAATATCTAGTGGAGTTTGAAATAGTCACCGCCAATATCCCCAAGCACTATTAGATGCCAGTGACTGATTCAGATTGCCTATGTACACCTAAAATGGACTTAGGCTGACTGATCCTTTAAGAAAGTAGAGCTACACATCTCAACAATACAGCAGTGGGAAGTCATTTCGACTAATGACATATTGAACCCAAAGCTCCCAGGTAATGGCAGGGTAGGTAGAAAAGCAAAGGAATGTAACACAGACACATTCATTAGTTACTGTGTTCCGTTTGTTAAGAAATGTTAAAACAGTCTCCTGATAATTGTACAGTGTGTGTGATGGGTCAGAATCTTCCTGCCCGTCAGCACCGCCCACCTCCGCATACCCACCCAAAAAAGTGGTTT